CCATCTTTTAATCCTGCTGATGGGCACTTAGGCTGTTTCCAAATCTTAGCTATGGTGAATTGTGCTGCTATGAACATAGGGGTGCATATATCCTTTCGGATTGGTGTTTCTAGTTTCTTGGGATATATTCCTAGAAGTGGGATTACTGGGTTGAATGGCAGTTCCATTTTTAACTTTTTGAGGAAATCCCACACTGTTTTCCACAGTGGCTGCACCAGTCTGCATTCCCACCAGCAGTGCACGAGGGGTTCTTTTTCTCCACATCCTTGCCAGCACTTGCCATTTGTTGATTTGTTGATGATAGCCATTCTGACACATGTGAGATGGTACCTCATTGTCATTTGATTTGCATCTCTTGGATGATTAGTCCATTATTCTCTTAAATGAATTACTTGAAGATGCCCCTAGGAACAAATATCTTAAAATGAAATTTATTAGGTTAAGCCTGAGCCCAGAATTATAGTGGAAGACAAATTTGTTTTGCTTACGTGGATAGTGCTTGACCAGAGTGAGAAATCTCAAACTCATCTGGTGACACAATGGTTTAACCTTTGAGGATCTCTAGAGTTGGTCTGATTCTGTAGGCTATGATAGGTAGTACCCAAAAGGATGGTACAGTGGATTTAAAGTCCAAAGAGAGAATTAAGTTGGTTACTTGTTGGAAATTGCAATGACTGTGGCCAAATGAGAAGGAGAAGATGAGAATGGATATGTGACAAGAAAGGCAAAACACAAGGAAGGAGTATTTCCCAGTTCTGTACTGCCCCTGAGGTCACTTGGCAAGTTTTTTGGTGATCTGTAAAGTAACTCATACTTTGTGTACTCTTTAAGTGTGGGGTGGGGTATGGAAGAGTGTGGAGGTAAGTAGATCATGGCTTTGGAAACTCTTCTCTGTAGCTTGAGGTCATGAAAATTTCCCCAGTCTTTTCTAAACAGATAGTTTGAACCTTATTAAGGTCAAACACATGCCAACAACTCAACATTATGTTATTTATGATATTAGATTATAATAGTTTTGTTTAGTAGGCTCCATGATATCGGATTGTTTCCAACAATTTGACTGTTAATATTTGTCCCATTTTATAGATGTCAATGTCAAGTCATTCCTAAATGCTAGGCAGCTAGTCTGAGTGTGCATTCAGTCTATGCATTGTTAAGTATATGTCCTGAAAAATGTTATGTATCCTGAAGAGAGCTTGCCCTTAGGATTCAGGAAAGCCTGAGTACCACTGCTCCCTAGGTGTAATCTTGGGTGAGTTATTACACCACTGAGCTTCAGTTTGCTCATTTGTAAAAAGGCTATCATACCTACTTCACTTCAATGTTATGCAAGCTAAATAGGGTAATATCTGTAACAAGTAGTACATATGTAATAAGCTTTCAGTCAAGGGTCCCCTCTAATTGTTACTGCATTTCTTTATACTACATATTTTAAAAAACTATAAGAATGTAAATTGTTTTTATATTAAAGCAAACAAACTTTTATATTTTATAAGACATTTTAGAAAATTTTAAATAACTAGAATGACTGAAAAGTGTGCATAGGGTGTATGAATTGCCTCTTATCAAAAGATATCAAACAAGGTTAATTTCTACACTTTTGTAGTGAAATGATGTACAGTGGGGCCTTGACTTACGAGTGTCCTGACTAATGAGTTTTTCGAGGTACGAGCCGTCTCTCGGACGATTTTTTGCTTTGAGTTGTGAGCTAAAATTTGGGTTACAAGCCAGCTTCAGATACCCCACCGCTAGTTGGCACAGCGAACGTCACAGTGAACCACCACAATATCAGCCCAGCATCACGTGTCTCACTCATTCACAATTGATTTGACATACGAGTAATTTGAGTGACGAGCTCCGTCACGGAACGAATTAAACTCATAAGTCAAGGCCCCACTGTACTGAGTTTATACCTTTTGGTGGTGTTACTGCTGTCCTTACTGCTGTAAGGTCATATAACTGGGTGAGCTGAGAGAACTCATGAGGAGAAGGAAGTAAATCTCTTCTCTTGGAAAGATCAGGGAAAGCTAATTACGTGCCCATGAACCTGAAGAACCAGTAAGAACTGCTACAGAGGGTTGGGGTGAGCCATGCACAGTGAGTGATCAGAGTAATGGCTCTGAGCTTTATGAAAATGGGCAACATACTCGGTTTTTACTTGAGTGCCTTTAAGCAGTCACGTGGTGGAACTCCAAAAAACAATTCCTGCAATAAAGCTAAAAGCAATACTGCTTCTTCTCTCATGCTATTTTTCTTTAAAAAAAATGACAAAATAAAACAAGACTGACACTTTTTTATCCATATCTCTTTGCTATTTTGACAAGTTCTCAAAAATGATTTACAATTTTAAAATCTAGGGTTTGATTTTGGCAAACATAGAAATTGTGCCATTTCATGTTTATATAACCATACAGATTAGAGAGCCTTAAAGCAGCTTACCCAAGAATTTAGGAATGTAGTTTCTCCAAACCAAAATGGGAAAGCTCAATGGATTCGAGATATATTTGCTGTGAGATATATGCATGCATCTGTTACTGTTTATGTTCTGTGATATGCTACTTGATTGCTCATTAAAAAAATCTTTATTGTTGGAAGTATTACATATGTCTCCTTTATTTCTCCATTGGCCCCTTCTAGCCTGTCCCCAACTCCTACCCCAGGCCTTCACCACCCTATTGTTTGTCCATGGGTTATGCGTATATACATACAAGTTCTTTGGCTGAACTCTTCCCACCCACCTACCCACCCTGCCTTCTCTCTGAGATTCATCAATCTGTTCCATGCTGCTATGTCTCTGGACCTATTTTGTTCATCAGTTTATTTTGTTCATTAGATTCCAAATATGAGATTATGTGATACTTGTCTTCCTCTGACTGGCTTATTTCACTTAGCATAATACTCTCCAGGCCTCTCCATGGTGTCTTAAAGGGTAATAGTTCCTTCTTTTTTACAGCTACTTAGTATATATTGTGTAACCGTACCACAGCTTTTTTATCCACTTATCTACTGATAGGCATCTGGGCTGTTTCCAGATCTTGGCTATTGTAAATTATGCTGCTATGAATATTTTCTTTCTGAGTGGTGTTTCTGGTTTCTTAGGGTATACTCCTAGAAGTGGGATCACTTGGTCAAATGGCAGCTCCATATTTAACTTTTTGAGGAAACTCCATACTGATTTCCATAAAGGCTGCACCAGTCTGCATTCCCACCAGCAGTTCATGGGTATTCCCTTTTCTCCACATCCTAGCCAGCACTTGCCATTTGTTGATT